TCCATGATCCTAACTAATTTGATCATTTATCAGAATTTCTATAATTTTTTATTATAGATTATATAATTAAAACTAATTTATATTAATAATATGATATTTTAGGAAATAATTTAATTCTTATGTATTATGTTGTTATCTTGAAAAACTATTTTTCTAATTATAAAATTTATAATTAACATGTAAAAAATCTATAATATTATTTAAGGAGTGAATTTGATGTTTGCTGATTTGTCATATTTTCCATGATATTAGGTAATTTTAATAATTTATCAGTTTATATAATTTTATATATAATTTATTATATATTTGAAACAAGTTTTATATTAATAGTATCAGATTCTTAGAAAATAAGATATTGCTTATGTATTAAGTTATTGTCTTGAATATATATTTTTCTATTAGAAATTTAAAATTATGATATAAAAAGTTGTAGTTATTCTATAATTGACATAAATTTACATTAATAATATTATACTTTTAGAGAATATGGTTATTATACAATTTAAAAGTAAAATAAAAAATTATATATTATTAATTAAATATAAATCATCACTCAAGAAAAATTATTTAATATATGAATTTGCTGATTCATTAAGTTCTCAATAATTTTAGGTAATTTTAATTATATGTCATAATTTTTATAATCTTATATAATTATTATATAGTTAAAAAAATTTTCATATTATATTTTTAGAAAATAAATAACTTATGCATTATATTGTTATCTTGAAAATATGTTTTTCTAATATAAATTTAAAATTAAGATATAAATATTATAATTAAATATAAATCAAGAAAATAGTTATAGAAATATATTTTTAAAAAAAATTCTGATGTTTGAGTTTTGTCATTGATAATTATTTGATGTTTGATTTTTTTACTTTTTGAAAACATAAAAAACAACTTACTCTGCTGATTTTTAAATTAATGAAACATTAACTAATAAATATTCATAAGAGGATAATACCCGCAAGTGCGGACAAAACACCTAGTTGTGTTTTTATATAAGAAATATGTAAAACTAATTATTTTAACTTTAAAATGACAGTTATAATGAAATATATAGAGTATTTTTGAAGCAAGACATCAAGGGTTTAATTAGTTGGAGTTATACCTATAGTGTTTTTAATCAAAGAATATATAATGTGAATTTTTTAATTTAGTTTTATTTTGTTTTGTTGTAGATTTTATTTTCAAAAAACTAAATAAAAGTTATACAGAAAATTTGATGGAAGTAATTATATTTCGTTTTTCTAATTTTGTGACTGTAGATTTATTTTTTAAATTAAAGTATGATTGCTTTATAAAAATGCTTTAGTAAAAATATAGTTATCTCCAATCAACTCCCAACTCTTTTTAGGATTTGGTCAACTTTGAAATATGCAAATTTATTCAAATGTTATATATATATATATATAGTTAATTAGACTGAAAATATTTTATATTAGCTAGATGCAAATTTATTCGGATATTAGTCATATGTCAGTGCATTATAGAAATAGGTTTATAAAATAATGTGATATTTTACTTGTAGTTACATATTTTATTTTGCATTTCTATGTAAAATTTTATATTTATTATAATATTTTATTAATTAGTTTGTTTTAATATTTTTTATATATGTGTTTTATTTATAAAATGGTTATAAATTTAAATTGTTTATGATAAATATAAGTTTTATAGTTAAAATATAAATATTATTTAAATTATTATTTTTTAATTATTTTTCGAAAAAGATTGTAAATATAATTTTTTTTTGAAAATAAGTACTCCATCCGTTTCGATTTACTTGTCATTGTAGAGTAAAATTTTTATTTTAAAATAAGTGTCGTTTTATAATTTCAATGAAATTTTTTTAAAGTTTTATCTGTTATTCTATTTTTCTATTTGTTGAAAAGTGGTTAGGTGTATAGGTAATTGTGTTTTTATTTCAAAATATGTAAAATTAAATATTTTCTTAATTTGTGTGCATAAACCTAAAACGATAACTACAGTGAAACTAAAGGAGTGTTTTTTAGAGATGCTCTGACTTTTGCGAAATCCACAAAATAGACTTGATTTCCATCTAAAATCTCTGGTCAAAAAATAGTTTATACTCCCTTGATATATATTTTAGACTTTTCACAAAAAATAATAAAATATATAATTAATGCATCATTTTGTGATTATTTTTATTAATAATTTTAAACCAATAAGAATCTACAAAATACAAAAAGTTTAAAAAAAATTGTAACTAAGCATTATTAGCTGTAAAATATTTATTACAAATATAAAAATGTATTTTTTGAAATAATATTTTTTTGTAAAAACATGTATTTAGACCTCGATTGGTACAACATATGATAAAACAATAGCAGTATACTGCACAACAGTATGATTTCATTAAAGTTTTTAAAAACATGTATTTTAGGCCTCGATTGGTACAATATATGATAAAACAGTAGCAGTATGCTGCAGAAACATTTATGTTATGTTTGTTATTAAAAATAATGAACGGTGTGTGTAGGGGTGGGCACAGATCGGATATCCGGATTTTTCAAGGTATTTGTGATTTGTTTCGAATGTTACGGATATCTAATTTTGGTATTTGCTTTGCTTCTGAAAAACGGATATCCGAAAAATAAATAGATATGTGCTGATATTTACGAATATTTACGGACATCTAATCCATTTTGATTAATAAAATAATCTTAAAATTTTGATATAAAATTTCTTATTAAAAATATTTTTGGCATGATATATAAAATAAAAATCAAAAGAACTAGTGAATTTATATATTTTGTAATTTTTGAAGTTAAAATTGCAATTATAATAACCCAAAAGTCAAGAAGAAAAATTATAATTGTCATATTTTTTTCTTTTTTATGTAATACATTTATATAAGTAATAATGTGAATAGAATTGTTCAAAATCATGTGTTAGAATAATAATTATAAAATTTTATACATTAATTTTTTAAAATATAATAAATATATACATATATTTATATATTTCCGGATCGGATCGGATATCCGCTTCTCAGAATTTTAATATTCGTGATTTGGTTGGATTTTAACGGATATTGATTTTTAGTATTTGCTTTGATTCGAAAGTTTGTGTGTACTTATAAATTATATTATATTTTAAATATGAAATAATGTTTTTTAAAAGGTTAATAATACTCCTTCCGTTTCGGTTTACATGTCGTTGTAGAAAAATATTTTGTTTCAAAATAAGTGGCGTTTTATAATTTCATTGTAAAATTTATTGACTCTATCTATTATTATATTTTTCTATTAGTAGAAATGTAGTTGGGTGTATAGGTAATTGTATTTTTCTAAAAAAAAAATGTAAATTTAAATGTTTTCTTAATATATGTTCAAAAATCGAAAACGACAACTAAATTGAAACGGAAGCAGTATTTAATTGCAATTTTTATTTTTACAAAATATAAATTTAGTTTTTGATTATAAAATATTTTTTGTATTATTAAATAAATATAATGTAATTATATATATTTTAAAAAAAAATTTATATATTATAAAAGCAAATGATCTTCCAAAAATTTAATATCAGAGTATTGAGCAAAAAACATTTAGAAAATATTAGGATTTGGTAAATGTTCTTCTAAATATTTCTTTGGTAAATGTTGATTGAATAAAGAGTATAATACTTATGATAATTCTTTACTAATTAAGCCCTTAGTGAACATAGGGAGAGGGAGTATTTTCCTTGTATCCATCTTGTGGGCTTTGGAATTAGAAAAGTATAGAAGGTCAAAGGGTCAACTTAGACCCACAATACGAGGAAGTTACTTTCGATGCTGCTTGCTCATTACTGAATTCTATGTAATTAAGAAAAAGTTATTCACCTTCACGAAATTACATCCCAAATAGCACACATCCAGTGCCCCTATTTATTACTGAGATTTTAATTTGTTTTATAAAGATGATAGCTTGTGTTTTTTTAATGTAAATTTATAACTTATTTATTTAATATCTGGTATTAATTAAGACACCTTGTTATATACTAATTTTATTTTATTTTTGTAATTATGTACTAATATAGAGTTATTTCCGAAATTGTAATTTTATTTTTAAAGTGTGCGAAATTTTTAAAACTATAATTTTCGTGGAACGAAGGAGTATGTATGTTTCATTGCAAATCTGTATCTATAAATAATTTATAACTTTCACAAAAGCATTTGATAGGGTATCATTTGTCCAGCTTTTCAATTATATAACATAACATGTAAATCCCGATTTTTTGTCACAAGATTGTTATCGCACATACTAAACTATATACTTATGTATCGTTGTAGTCATTTGAAATATTGTTTCATAAAGAACACTATTTGAAATGCAGAAATTAGATTCTGTTTTTTTTTTTTTTTGAACGTTGATAAATTACTCTTTGGCAGATAGAGAGGTGACTGGTGAATAGTATAATTATTCAAAATGATATAAAAATACTGACTCAAACTTAATAATTCAATATTTTAATTATCGTTGTGCTGCTAATGTGATTACCTTTAGTCGACTTGGATCATAACTCTCCACTGTTAAAATGGGTTATTTGATCCATAAGAATAACAATAATACTCCTATATGATTTGAACAGTGTTGAACAAAAAAAAATGGTTTGAACAGATCCGAGAAAAAATCAATTGCAAGTTTATATTACAAGAACAAAATCAAAAGTAATAAAATTAATATTCACTTTAATTCGCAGAATTCCTATTTATAACCATCCCATCTCCTAAGAACTCACTACATACCACATTGAAAAGTAAAAAGCCCTTCATCGCCTTTACTCTCACAAGTCACAACAACTTTTTTTTTTTTTGTGATTCGCTTTATATTTTCCCCAAGCCATTGTAAGCTCCGATCTTCAACACTCTTATCTTCTCCTCCACCTTCGCTCGCACACATAATTATACCTATTTATCTTTTAAATCATTCATCAGTTTAAAAAAAAAAAAAAAAAAAAAAAAAAAATCATTCATCAGTTTTCTTGTGCAGAAAGGCGAAGATATGGAGATTTTTGGAAAAGTGATAACAACATTGATGAGTCTCATGATCATGGCTATGTGCAAGAGTGTGGATGGTTATAGTAGTGGTTGGGTCAATGCTCGAGCCACATTCTATGGCGGTGCTGATGCTTCTGGCACCATGGGTAATTTTACTTGCTCTTTTGTCCAAACTTAATTGAAAGTTCCAACTTTAATTTTTAACAGAATCTTTTTCTAAATAGCCTTATTAATACTGAGTATATAAAGAAAATAAATTTTGACCTTTTAAACTATTGGATTTAATTTCTCAGGTTTTGAAATAAGCCATTTGATATTTTAACACACTGAATAAAATTATACATCACATTATCATCACTTATTTTTAAACTGGTTAAAAAGTTGTATATATACATCTAAATTTCATTTTCTTAACGTTTGATTTCTTTTGGTAATCACAAATTTATGTCTCAACTCTTTAGCTCTTTTGTTCCTTGAGCTCATTTCGTATTGTTAATTGTTTTTTTTCCATGGCCGGGATCAGGCGGTGCGTGTGGATACGGTAACTTATACAGTCAAGGATACAACACGAACACGGCGGCACTAAGCACGGCCCTCTTTAATGGCGGCCAAAGCTGCGGCGCTTGTTTCCAGATCAAATGTGTTAATGATCCAAAATGGTGTCTCCGGGGAACAATCACCGTCACCGGAACAAACTTTTGTCCGCCGAACTTTGCTCAAGCCAACGACGCCGGAGGTTGGTGCAATCCTCCCCAACATCACTTCGATTTAGCTCAGCCCATCTTTCTCCGCATCGCTAAATATAAAGCCGGTGTCGTCCCCGTCCAATACCGGAGGTGAGTTTTTACATTTCGCTTTAGTTTGGTTCGTTAAATGAATGGATACCGCTGAACCGGTTATGTTCGGTTAAGAGAAATGTAATACCGTGCGGTTTGATTTTCTCAAGTTTTCTTGAGAAAATGCAGAGTAAAAGCATATATTAACTTCCTCTGTTTCTAAATGGTACAATTTTGTGTGTTTACATATATTCAGAAAATATTTTAAAATTTATTATAGATATATTAATTTTTGTGTTTAGCTATTTTCGTGAGTCTAAAACCAATACAATTTGAATAAATACACTTTCTTTAAAAAAAAATCTGATTTACTATCATTAACTAATAAAATGTATGGAAAGTATCATGTTTACAAAAAATCAGGAATTTAACACAAACTGATCATCTAGTCCTATATGTTTCATCCAATGGCCACTGGTTTGCGATACCGGTTTATCTTGGTAAAATCAATACCGTTTGGTTCCTTTTTCTCATGCATTAATACATGAATTTACAAGAAAGTTTGATCACATTTTGACAAAAAGGAAGTCCAAGAAAGTACTGACAGAGAATATTTTATTAATGAAACAGAGTGGCTTGCCGGAGAAAAGGAGGGATGCGTTTCACGATCAACGGACACTCGTACTTCAACCTCGTACTCATAACCAACGTCGGCGGCGCCGGAGATGTTGTTTCCGTCTCCGTCAAAGGAACAAGGACAGGTTGGCAAAGCATGTCGAGAAACTGGGGGCAGAACTGGCAAAGCAACGCGAATCTCGACGGCCAAGCTCTCTCCTTCAAAGTAACAACCAGCGATGGCCGTACAGTCGTTTCCAACAACGCTACTCCTCCTAACTGGAGTTTCGGACAGACTTACACCGGAAAACAGTTCCGAGTTCAGAGGTGATGACGTGGATTAAACAATAAAAAAAGTTTTAATTTAATAACTGAATGGCGTAAAAAAGTTTTTTTCACCGGCAGCTTTTGTAATTCGCCGGTGAGTCTGTGGTGAACAATGTTCTCACCCGCCGCCTAAGTAATTTAGTTTTTTTCTTTTTTTTGTACTTTATTTTGCTTTTAAAAAATGTTGTCTGTTTCTTTTAAGACATTTTTCTACTAAAATAAATTTACAAGTTTATACTATATGCTTAGTCTTCTTTTTTCTTTTTTTTCTTTTTCAGTAATTCGCAATATACGGATTTAAATTCGGATGATGATACATCTGCAACGTTACCACAGACTACTAGGCTACATATCATGGTTATTTGTTTTGTTTCTTTGATTTATTTGTTGTAAGTCCTAAAATGTCTGGCAGACTGTCAAGCTAATTGAAAAATGATTGGTTCATTCAATAAATGTTTTCATTTTTCAGAGTTGAGCAATGCTAGTAGTCATTTGAGATTTAGGATTCTGAATCTAGGGAGTCAGTTCTACCTTCGAGGTAGGAACAAAGTTGATTGGTTTTGTATCTGACCAAGTCTTTGTGAAGATTGCTCTTGTGTTTCCATAGCTCATGATTTTTCAGAGTTTTTTTTGATCCGGTGAGCACCCTGACTGTCTTATACTGATGATCCAACTCTGATTGGAGTTAGTGAGACTTCCTTTTGCTCAGCTTGTACCTCAGTATTTCAGCCTGTGTGGCAAGAAAAAGTTTTTCTTTCATCAGCTCCATACTGTTTTTGCTGATCCTCCTCTCATCTTCTAGTTCATTTCTAAAGAGCAGCAATATTTGCTTCGAGAGTTGCTTTCTCCTTTTTTACAGACATAAGTTTCCTTTTCCGAGTTTGTTTGACATACTTCCTGATAATCATGAGCTAGGTCAGCATTTTCTTCTAGCAGATCAATCATCCATGTCATTTTTAGTCTCTCTTTCAACAAACTCAATAATCCCGATGAAGGCTACAAAGTTTGCTGATTTCTTCTTCCTCACTGCCTTCTTCTGAGTCTTGCTGAACTCATAGGTTTATCTAACCGAGACAAGACTAAAGCTGCTATTGCATCATCAGTAGCACTCTATATAGCTGAGGATTAAAAGATCTTGAAGATGTTGCAGTCAAACTGCATCTTCTTACCTCTACGGATATGAAAGGAATATGAGAACACCTGACTGAGTTGCAAAAAGAAAACAGATCTAATCAGAAAAGTAGTGAGAAACTGAGCAAAGTCGTGAACGCTATATCTCAAACTTTTCATACTGGCCACCAAGATCTTTGTCTCCATAAATAATAGTAACCCTTGAACAAACAAAACAAAAAGTCGTTTTTGTTGAAGTTGGTACGTCAAAAGACTGACTAAATAAACATCAACGACGATTTGTTGGAGTAAATTCAAATGATCAAACAAAAAAAAAGCCAAAGAACAATGATTGGACCACTTAGAGTGTTTAGGAACAACTCTGAGATTTAACACTTAGGCTTAAGAAAAAAAAAAACCTGGAAAAGTACAATATTTGGACTACTAAGCATCTAGATAGATACTGCCACAAAACGGACAGCTGCAGAGTTAGAAACATCAATTGACAATATTAGCAAACAGACAAGATAATAAAAAAATGTTGACCCTAGTCAAACTATGATCTGTTCGTGGAACAATTAAACCCCTAAGAGAGCATCATTCCATAAGATGGTATCTGATTATACGCCAATTGCGTCTGCTGCATAAACTCATTATCAAACTGTTGGAAAATCATCGGAGGTAGATCAAAGTTGTTTCCTTGCTCCCCAAGAAACGAATCCAAGTAATCTTGATTAATCGGTTGTTCAAAGCTTGGAAGAGAGGCTGAATTGGCCAACTGAGTGAAAGTGCCATTGTCATGGTTATACAAAAGAAGCGAAAACTTACTCGACGTGGCGGTGGATAGATCAAGAGGAGTCTCCTGGGGACGTTGATCAACAAGACTTTCTTTGAATGTCTGTAACCGACTCTGCAAGGAATCTTCAAACTCCAACACTTTCTGAGAAAACCTGTTATCGTTTCTTCTCATAGATTCCTCCTTGTCTCGGATCATCTTCTTGTTAAGAAACCCCGAAAAATTGTTGCTTTTCTTGTTTTTTTCTTGTTCGCTTAACGTGCTGTATCGCTCCGCCATGGCTGTAACCTTGGCTTCTTCCTTCTCAGGCCACACGAGGTTCCCTTCACGATCGAAGCAGATGGTGCACACTTCGACTCCGCATAGCTCCGAGAGCTCGAACGATTTCTTGAGAATTGTCGCCGCTCGTGCCTTGCACAAAGTAGAAGAAGGTTTCTTGAAGACTCTTTCTTTTCTCACCGACAATCTGGCTCTGGGATTCTTTGTCGTCATCTCGCGATTAGGGTTTAGAATGTAAGCAAATAGAATTCGAATAGAATGAGATCTTTACTAACGAGTTTCTGTAATTTGGAGACAGAAGAGCTGTGTGATGAATCGTAAACTGTCAGAACTGTGGAATGAATTGAATGCGCGTGGATGGATTGGAAGAAGGATTATTATTATTATTAAAAGGGAAATTAGCAAAGTATCGGAAAATAAATGAAAAAGAGCCGTTGTGTTGTGACTTGGGCTGTAAGGTATTTAACCAAATTCCTTTTCTTTATTTTTCCCTAATTAATTATCGATATGTTGTAAGAAATTAAAAAGAGCCGTTGTGTTGTGACTTTGGTTGTAAGTATCTAACCAAATTAAAAGAGCCGTTGTGTTTGTTTTTTTTTGTTGTGATTATCGATATTTGATAAAACCACCTCACACTTGCAAGGAGCCTGTATACATGCTGCTGAATACTTTGTGGCCTTGAAACTAAAGAACACGGTTCTTATGGATCATGTTTCTTACCCATTTTCTTTCCCATCCATGAAAAATTAATTGATGAATTTGTCAAAGAGTCTTTTATCTGGCTGTCCAGTTCTTGGAGACTTGGTTGTGGCGCAAAGTCCAGATGACAAATGTGCCCATTTTGAGCTTTAGAGTGCCTTCTCTAAAGAGATTAGTCTTTCGTCTTTGAGAATAATATGACTAATATTGTCAAAGCAAATCTTGTCGTTAAGTACTGGGATCCTTGCAAGAACTTCATGGACAGTCCAGCGTCTGTATCTCGGTGTACTATTGACACAACATTGCTTGCACTATGCAATCTCGTTATATATGCAGGATGCATATCCCGTTGGTACTATATTTTGCTCTCTTGTACACTTGACGCTATACACATGTGAGAAAGAATGGATTCCCCCAACTTACGAGTACTTAAACTCAAAAGGTAATATACATATATTGCAACCCAATTCACTCAGTGTCTTTAATTTTTTTTTGTGGTACTAATGTTAAGTGTCTTAAGTTGATACACATATATATGGTTGATCTAATGCATTGTATCTCAGTGTCATGACCTTCGGCGCTGTGAGCAGCGCCCGTTCTGGAATGAAAGGAGCTTGGTACCTGAATATCTGCTATCAAATCTTGAACCCTTCGAATGGGTAGATTATGAAGGAACAGAAGCAGAGAAATAAAGCAGTAGCATTCATCCTAAGAATTGCAAGCTGTTTAAAGGAAGCAACTTTTGTCTCCCCTAAATCCATTACGGACCATAACAAGAAACTTAAGATGCTTAATGGATTCCCCAGATCATCTTGGCGTTCACCAGTTTGTCTTCTTGATTTTGGATCTGAATCTTATATAAGAAACTAGTACTTGTTTGGATTTATCTTTTTCTTTCTACTCTCTGCCGTCTCGACGTGGTGGAAGAAGATACAATTTAAGGAAGTCCTTCTCTTTGCTCTTTCTGTTACACAAGAAGTATGAATGAATCTTTGTGAAATACAAGGAAAATAAAGAAATAATTAAAAAAACTACCTAATAAGTACCTTAAGGAAAACCTTAACCAATTTCAACATAACTCATAAATGAAGAAGATAACAGCAGAAATTTACAATCTTTTTATCACCATATATCTGTGAGTTGATTCATAAGAATTTATAGTTCCAACCGAAGTCTGAATCTTCTTTCATCTCTCTTAATACCAGCTTGGCACGTACGCAACGTACCTGTATTTATACTAAGAGTTTGCTTATAACCATATATTGAATTGTGTTAAAAAAAAAACCATATATTGAATTTGATTTGATTTTCCACTTTAGTATTTTTTAAATTCAACATGAGTTGAGCATTCCTGGTTCATCATGTTTTTTTTACCAACTAGCCATGGATTAAATAGTCGTACACGTTTTAGGTATTTTACATGCATGTCCTTTTCTGTTAATCTTTGCTGATTATCGTCAGTAGTCTCGTTTGATTTAGAAGGATTAAGTTTAGGTGTTGAAAGAAAATTGTGGTCTGTTGTATACCTCTCTAGGGTTTAGATTTGGCCATGTGATGCAGCATCTCCCCTTTTGGGCGCCAATATGATAATTATTTAAACTATTATACTTATCGATTTTGATATTTAATTCTATTCTTCTTTTGACTTTTATTGTTAAGTTAAGATAAATTATAAATTTTCCTTTTCTACATATTTGTTATCTTTCCTAATTTAAATTGGTTTGTGAAGTTATATTCAGAGCTAAGACTCTTATAGTATTCAGTTTTTGAAGTTAATAAACAACCTTGTTCGATTAGATTCAATCCTACCAACAAGAAATTGGTCTCAAAGAGTTTCTCTCAAATTTCTTATTTTGATCCAAGTAGGTCTCAAGAGCTTTAAAACTCCTGATTGAGTTATATATATATACCCTTTGTTTGTACGCTACGCCACCATGCGTCGTTGCTTATAGCTAACTATTTGTTTGAATCCCGAGCATCTCATATACTTTGTAGCATCTTAGCTTTACAGTTATATTTAAACCCGCACAGAGTGCTGTCTGAACACTAATATTATAGTCTATAGACGACGTATTACGTCTTAGGTCTTATTATTTTTTTTTTTATAACACTGAGTAATGAACAAAGTTTGAGGACAAACAAATGTGAAAGACTAAAAACTAGGAAAATGAGATGTCAGTAGACACCATCATAACAACAAAAGAAAAGAGAAGCAGGATATACCAACACCCTTACTCATTTAGCCTCCAAAACTAGAAGGTGAAATAGCCACGATGGAGCATTCCGAGCGATGTACGACTGGTGGCGCCTATCTCGAGTGACGCTGAAAGCAATGGCCGTTGCCGCTTTATTACGCTCCGGAAGAGTATGATCGAGACTCCATGAATCTATTCCTGATAGAAGCCAGAGAATGCTGTGACGAATGTGGCTGAGGCTAAGGTGTGCAGTTGGATTTGTCATAGCGTCATGTAAGCACTCCGATGACACTACAAGAAAACACGGCGATTCTGAGGGAAATTTTCGTCGGTATGTCGTCGGAATTAAGGAATTCCGTGGACATACCGACGACTTCGGTCGTCGGAAATTTCTCCTCGGAATTTCACATCTCCTCGGAATTTCCTCGGAAATTTCCTCCGTCGGAAAATTCCGAGGAATGGGTTTCGTCGGAATTTTCCGAGGAAGGTGTCCGTCGGAATTTTCCGAGGAAGTCGGCCGTCGTAAAATTCCGAGGACAAGAGTTCCTCGGAATATTCCGATGAAACATGTCCTCGGAAATTTCCGACGGCCTTCTTCCTCGGAAAATTCCGACGAACTGGTTTCCTCGGAATTTCCTAAAATATGATTTTTTTAGCAGAATTATAAATTATTATTTTTTAATTAATATTCAAAAATACAAAATAAAATTTAAAATTGAAAATATATTAAATAAAAGTAGAGTTTTACAAATAAATAAAAAACATTCAGAGTTTTCGAAAAAAAAACATTCAGAGTTTTCGAAAAAAAAAACTACGGGAGCTGCTCGTTCGGGTACATCCTCCTCATCATCTCCATCATGCGCTCACGACCGGGCTGTTGAACCAACTCCTCAACACTCATCGCTCCCGGAACGACCGGAGGATCGGGAGCATGAACAAGAGAGGGAGATGTACGGTAGGTGCCCTGGGACGGCGACGAGTCATGAGAATCCCGAGGCCGGCTTTCCGAAGCACCAGAACCTCGTGCAACGGGACGACGAAGTCGAGATCGACTCTGATCACCAGTAGACCTATAAGTTAAAAAAAAAAGATTTAGAAATAGTTTTAATGACATTAAAATATAAAATTAGGTTTTAATCACAAATTTTTTTAAAAAAAACTTGTAATAATTTAGAATTTCATCACAAAAAGGATTCATAAAATATTAAAAATAACTTTATTAATTTAAAAAATAGTTTTAAATCACAAAAAACCTTTTAATAAATAGGAAAATACTTGATTAATTTAAAAAATAGTTTTAAATCACAAAAAACCTTTTCATAAATAGGAAAATACTTTATTAATTTAAAAAATAGTTTTAAATCACAAAAAACCTTTTCATATAAATGGAAAATACTTTATTAATTTAAAAATAGTTTTAAATCAACAAAAAACCTTTTAATAAATAGGAAAATACTTTATTAATTTAAAAATAGTTTTAAATCACAAAAAATTTATAATTTCAAAAATTAAAATTTCAGAAAATTAAAATTTATTAATTTCCGAAAATTAAAATTTATAAATCAACAACAACAACAACAACAACACAATCAACACAAAAACCAACTAATTCCCCTATTTACCAATCACCCTAACAAAATCACAATCTAAAACATCTAAAATCCTTAAAAATAACTTCAAATCCTAATCAAAACAACTAAGGATGATGGGGATTAAGGACTTACATGATTTGGAATGAAATAGGGGAGATTTCGCGGCGAAAATCGAGAGAGAGAGGGGCAGTTTTCGTCGGCGGCCGAGAGGGAGAGGAAGAGAAGAGAAGAGAAATGGGGAAGAAGAACTCTCTAGGGTTAATAAACCAAAAATTCCGNTAACTTCAAATCCTAATCAAAACAACTAAGGATGATGGGGATTAAGGACTTACATGATTTGGAATGAAATAGGGGAGATTTCGCGGCGAAAATCGAGAGAGAGAGGGGCAGTTTTCGTCGGCGGCCGAGAGGGAGAGGAAGAGAAGAGAAGAGAAATGGGGAAGAAGAACTCTCTAGGGTTAATAAACCAAAAATTCCGACGGAAAAGGGTTCCTCGGAATTCCGTCGGAATTTCTTAATTTAATTTTCGCTAAAATGTTTGGCGGTTTGATTTCCCGGGTACCAAAATATTCCGAGGAAATTCCGACGGATATTTAGAAGTCCGTCGGAATTTCCTCGGAAAAAAATTCCTCGGAAAAAAATTCCTCGGAATTTCCTCGGAATATTCCGAGGAAATTCCGAGGAAATATTGTTTGGGGTTTCAAAACCTAAACTTTTGATACAGTAAATCATTCATTGAACAATTTGATAGATTATCAATGGATAATATGACAATAGATGCCTATAAACCATGAAATTAAAGAATTATTAAAACGAGTACACGTATTGTCGTTTCTGTTCATTAAAGTGTATAAGTGTTTATGTTGTAGTTTAAGGATTTCGTTTATACAATCGAAAAAGTGTCTATAATTTGGGTACCATAGCATTTTTTGAATTCATAATCAATTCAAAACACTTAACAAGGTTTATACAAGTCTTATTCAATCCGTAAATCGCTGTTTTCGGTTCCGAAACCATGTTTCCTCGGAATTTCCGAGGAATTTCCGACGAATGCTGGTGTTCCTCGGAATTTCCTCAGAAGTAACCGAGGAAATTCCGTGGAATGCTTGTTTTCCTCGGAATTTCCTCGGAAATTTCTGAGCAAAATTCCGAGGAAATGAAACCCTGATATCAAATCCCTAAAATTCGATTATTACATTGACCTTTTCCGAGGAAATTCCGAGGAAAATCAACACTTCCTCAGAATTTCCTCGGAATTTAGTCAAATCCCCCAACGGCTATCTAACGGATATAATATATCCTCGAATTATCGTCGGTTTTTTCCGAGGAACACATGTTCCCCGGAATTTCGTCGGAAATTTCCGACGGAGCAGACGTTCCTCGGAATTTCCTCGGAATAGTCCGAGGAAATTCCGAGGAAACCCAAAATTTTTGGTTCCTCGGAATTTCCTCAGAATTGCCACGGAATATTCCGAGGAACTCATTTTCCCTCGGAATTTCCCTCAATATATCGATGTTTTCTTGTAGTGTGAAGTCTCCAAAATAATGTTTGAGAAGTGTAGATTGTGCAAACATTCCACTGCCCAAAAAAGAGCCCACAGGTCGGCTTCGATCTTTGTGCGCATGTAAGAATAAGCCCGACGGCTATGCATGAGCGTGCCTCCGTTTTCGTCTCGAAGAATCCATGATGCACCACTCGGCTGATTTGAGTCAATCCATGAAGGTCCCACATTACATTTTAGGGATCCATTAGATCTTTTCTTTGGTGTTAATATTTTTTTTTCTCGGAACGCTAGTTTTAGGTATTTGCTTCTTCCGTGAATCTTCTTCTGATACTTGTCCTATACGTTTTATTATGAGAGTTTGAGTTTAGTATTCTTCTCCTTCTAGTAGGGATGTTAATACGGGCTACCCGGGCCCGTTTAGACCCTGCCCGTTTAGGCCCTACCCGTTTAGGCCCGTTTAATGTCAAGCCCGTTTAGACCCGTTTAATATCATGCCCGTTTAGATCTAAGCCCGTTAATGTTGATTGTGCCCGTTTAGCCCATTTAGGCCCGTTTAAGTTTTTTGTGAATTCTATTTTTTTGTCAATAATCTTTTGTTATATCTTAATATAATTTTACTAATTTTTATTTGACTTTATAACTTTATAATAAATAGAAATACAAATTAAAGCAAAATTTGAAGAAAAAAATCTATTTTACTTTTGATAAATATTAATTAGTTTATAATATTATACAAATATCAACAAATTTTAGTAGGTTATAAACACAATTATAACCTAAATCATTTTCTGGAAAAAAAGAAACTATATATAATATAACAATTTTGTTTCAAAAACACAAATATATTAAAAAAAAAATTAAAAAAAATAAAAAATACGTTTTTAAATTTTTTTTTTTTTTTAAATATCTTAAACGGGCCTAAATGGGTACCCGTTTATTTAATAGGTATGCCCATTAACGAGACGGGCCTAAACGGGCGGGCCCGTATAAACCCGTTTATTTTTTGTATCATCATAAACGGGTAATGGGTCCGCCCGTTTATTTTAAGCCCGTTAGGCCCGCGGGCTCCGAGCCCATTTTAACATCCCTACCTTCTAGTTGTGGTTTGTTTTGTGTACCTCTCTAGGGTTTTGCTTATTACTATTTGCTTGTTTCCTGAGAATCTCACATCTCTCTTGTTTGCCTTATTTATGTTTTTAGGCTTTGATCGGAAGCAGAAACCTTTGGAAAAAAGGATATTAGACCATGGACATGGTAAGTCAGTTGCCTGATGAGCTTCTCCTGAGGATATTGTCGTTTCTGCCACTGATAGATGTTGTGGACACGATGCTTTTGTCAAAGCGGTGGCAATTTCTTTGGCTGATGGTGCCAGCACTCACATTCGATTACAGCAGTAAAGAGTACTTATCGTACCAATTATTTTCACGTTATGTAGAGAGGTATTTGTTTCTGCATGAGGCTCCAACTATAAATGCTTTGCGTTTCAAACTTGATGAATCTTGTGTTAGTGGAGATATACAAGTGTGGATTAAAGCTGCAAAAAAACGCAGTTTGCGTGAGCTAGTTATCAAGCTTGATGATTCTACTAAATATCCAGTGGAAATTCCTAGAAGCTTGTCTAGATGCTTCAAAACGCTTGTGACCTTGAAATTAAGAAACGCGGTTCTTGTAGATGATGAAGCTTCTCCAGTTTCTTTCCCATCACTAAAAAAACTGAGTCTTGAAAATCGATGAAGTACCCTGGTGATGTATTTGTTGCCAAGCTGTTATCAAGTTGTCCTCTTCTTGAAGACTTGTATGTGAAATTATGTCCAAGCGACAATGTGTCAGTCTTTAGCGTTAGCTTACTTCATCTAAAAAGTTTAGTCTTGAAAACAACAGAAGAGATAAGAGAAGGGGAGGCACACGGGTTTGTGATAGATGCTCCTTCTTTGGAGTACTTGAAAATTGTTGATCACTGGAAAGGGTGTTGTGTCATTGAGAATAATATGAATAAGATAGTGAAGGCAAGTGTTGTCATAATGCGCCCCAATCCTGAGCAGCTTATGTGTTCTCTAACTTCAGCCAAGCGTCTTGTTCTCTGCCTCGAAACCTCAATGGTAATATGTTGTTTTTAGCTTAGTCTTGGGGTTTAGTCGGTACCACTTTATTGATGGACAATGTTGTCCCTTGTTGATAAAAGATGTTGGCACTAACTCTGTTTATTGAACTTATTGGTGCAGACTTTGTGTCATGTTGGAAGTGTTTTCCACTATCTTAAACATTTACAGATGTGTATATGTGAGACAGAATGGTTGAATCTACTTATGCCTATGCTCAATAACTCCCCTAATCTACGATACCTCAAACTTTATTTGGTACATATATTTCGTCCCAAATCATTCAGTTTCCTTGTTCTATTTATATATATCTCTTTTTTTTTTTGGGCAAACTTTTTTTTTTTGGGCAAACTTTATATTTATCTCTTATGCACTGAATTTGTCTCCTCTTAATTTATCTCAGCGGTGCATTAAAAGTGAACTGCGCCCCATCTGGAGGGAACCGAGCTCGGTTCCTGGATGTCTGTTAACGAGTCTTGAAACTCTTGAATGGGAAAAATATGAAGGAAAGGAGGAAGAGAAAGAGGTGGTAGCATTCCTCTTAAAGAACGGATTATGTTTAAATAAAGTAATTATTAAACCTATATCCACAAGCCGCAAGAAGAAAAAAATGCTCAAGGAGTTAGCTTTCTTGCCCAGGAGTTCGCCTACATGTCGGATCGTGTACGGCTGAAGTTACAGGCTCAGCTCTGGAGACAAAACATGTTCGATAGTTAGAGTGACATCACCAAATATCCACTCATCTTATGAATTTTCATTATCATTCTGATTTTATATTTTATGATAAATATGTAGGGGTTATTACTCAAATGGCATACAAAGATTATATGACTACAATAATATACATCTTATGAGAAATTATATTGTTTGTTTATCCTCCCCCAATATGAATGATTTAAACCAAAAAGAAAAATCATATTGTTTGTTTTTCCTCCCCAAGACAAAACATTTTACATCTGAATCTTAGATAAGAAATTAGAAGTTGTGAGTTTTTCTTCTTCTATTTTTAGCTCATTTAGTTATTAAAACCCCTCCTCTTAATGTTAAGTTGTTAACTCTTATATTTCATTTGACTGGGAAAACATAACGACATAGTGTGTAATCTTTCTTTAACGCAATAGTTAAATACTTAAATTCAAACCATGTCTTCCTTTACCCACTTACATGGTGTTAACCACTTTGTCGTTCTTCACCAGACCCAAATGCATTTTGTGGCTTGCTCGAAACAGGTAAGACCTGGTCTTTTGATTTAATAGTATTGAAACCATAATATAATTTCTGTCACGACGTTAATCCAGACATGGACCAAAACAGTTTGTGAACACGTTATTGAAGAATCAAAGAATGTAACAGATAATACTCGGTCCAGTTCCGTCACAACGAAGTTATCTTCTTCTTTTTTTGGTCAAAAACGAAGTTATCTTCATTCTTCAGTTAAAGAAAAGTCATGTCAAGCGAACGAGAGTTCACGCATCTACAAAGATATAAAATTTAATAACCTGTAAATTGTAACATTTTATTTTACATAGTAGATAAATAGATACTTTCTCTTGCAAGTAGCATATATAGTAGTCATTAGTATAATATGTGACCAAATAAATAACAGGGAAAAACGTAATTAGACAGAGACCACAAGCGTTGAATGAGCTACTGATAAATTAGTAAATAAACCTCAAGATTGGTGAGGAAAGACTAAAAATTAACAAAAGTCTTAAACTTGATTAATAATTTTTAATACTAATAATGGATGCTAATTAAGAAAAGGACCTAAAGTAAAAGAGGAAACAAGGAAGGAGTTTGGGTTAGAAGAGAGGACGTGGTTAGGTTGTTTCATTTCCTTCCACTCTTTCTTCTTCATTTCCTCTTTTTCTTTTCTCTCCAACCCTCTCGCAAAAGCTGCTTCAAGAAAACAAAAAAAAAAAAAAATTGAGCTTTTTGGGGGGTTTAATTTCTTTGAGATAACCAAAAGAAGGAAGAACAGATTCAAAGGACATTTAAAGGTAATGGTTTTTATCTTGTGATTACCTATCTGTCTCCAAATTTTTTCTTTCATGATTTTTAATTGATAAAATGTTATGAAAAAGGAGGACAACAAATTGTTTCCTTTCTTAAAGGTTTTCCTCTTTGATCTTTTTTTACAAGATTCTTGAATTTTTTTTGTTGTTGTAATTTGGATTTTTATTAAAATCTGTGTAAGAAGCTTTGACTTTCTCCTTTTCAGAGATGTTCTTGTCTGAATCTTGTAAATGATTGGTCAAAGTTCGATAGGCAAAGAAAAAAACATAGTTTCCAGGGTTTCATTGTGTTGCTCTTTTTTGAGAAGAACATGGAGGAAACAATGGCATCTAGGTATTGGTGTCACATGTGTTCACAAATGGTGAATCCAACAACAACGGAACCTGAGATCAAATGTCCCTTTTGCCAAAGCGGATTCATCGAAGAAATGAGCAATAATGGTAATGGTAATAATGGAGGTGGCCTTGTTCAAGACCGTGCTATGTCTCTATGGGCACCAATCTTGCTTGGAATGATGAGTACTCCTCGGAGACGAAGAAGGTCTAGGAGAGCAGAGCTTGATGAACAAGACAATGACAATGATGATGAATCCAATCATAGAGCGAGAAGACACGGTGGAGAGATTGATTTGGACAGAGAGTTTGAATCTATTTTAAGAAGAAGACGAAGAAGCTCAGGGAATATATTACAGTTGCTTCAAGGGATACGTGCAGCTTCTGAGTATGAGACATCTGATAATATCAATAATAATAGAGTTATAATGATCAATCCGTTGAATCAATCCCTCGTTGTTCAAGGACAAGCTCAGAGCCATCCTGCATTGACTTCACTTGGAGATTACTTCATTGGACCTGGTTTAGATCTTTTGCTCCAGCATTTAGCTGAGAATGATCCCAACAGGCAAGGGACTCCACCTGCTCGTAAAGAAGTGGTTGATGCTTTGCCAACGGTTAAGATAACGGAGCCGTTGTTGCAGTGTTCGGTTTGTTTGGATGAGTTTGAGAAAGGAGTGGAGGCTAAAGAGATGCCCTGTAAGCATAAGTTTCATGTCAAGTGTATTGTTCCGTGGCTTGAGATTCATAGCTCTTGTCCTGTGTGTCGGTTCGAGCTTCCTTCTGCGAGTGGTGATGGTGATGAGAGTAAGGTTGATTCAACGAGAACAATAACTACTGTTCCGGAGAGTAGTAACGGAAACGGTGTTGAGAATGTGGGAAATGAGGAAAGAAGTGAGGATGATGCGAGGAGTGGGAATGGAAGAAGGTTTTCATTTTCATGGCCATTTAGTGGATTGTTCTCTTCTTCTTCGTCTTCTTCATCCTCTGGATCTCAATCTGGTCCTCGCTGATCAAAAAAATAAGAACAAAACATCTATAATCCTCAAACATCTTGGTTTACTTGTTCTTGTTCTTGAACTTGTTTTGTCCTACTCTGCTTTTATGTACATAAAAACGATGTTCTTTCGCTCATTTTGTTCATGGAGGTGTTATTTGTTCTTATTTGTTTCAATCTTTCTATCATTGTGTGCTGTACAAAGATGATCAAGTTTAGTTTCGATTTGTGTGTTTGTTTCAGTGTTTTGTTTCTATTCTTGTTTTATGAATATGAAATTATATATGTTAATGATGTCGAAATAGTGATGAAAATGTAAACAAAATAAAGAAAATGATTAAAAATGTCAGAATGATTTCTCTATGTGGGCGATGATAAGTCAATCTTCATGTTCTTAGGCTTTAATTCTTTGTCGACCTTATTTTTGTTATGGGCGGGTGAATCATGCGCTGTCTCTTTCTTCTCTGTCTTCATCATGTTGTCTTTTTGAACTAGAGCATGATATCTAAATACGTGTTCACCATTATTTACATCGTATATCAAAGAAATGCATTAAAAAAAAGAAAGAAATTCATGATAATAGAGATACGTAAGCGAACCATTTGTTTCATACAACCAATCATACTCCAAAAAAATAGAACCGTAAGTGGATTCTCACTGGTCACCACGATAGTGTAATTAGCAAGAAAGAGCACTCGAGTTTTCTATCTCAAGCAATTTACTCACATACCTTGAATAAAATTCGTATTAAAAAACGTTTATAGCTGCGTTTCCTCCAACGCCAAACGCCAAAAAGGGGATTTCTCTAGATAAGAAGAATCAACCATATCACTTGACAGTCAAGATCTTGATAAGCGAAGCATTACCAACTCGGAGTAGAGCAACAACAGAGTCTCCAGTCTTACACAGCTCTTTCTCTTTCCCCTGCTGAGTCGCAAACTCAATAGCTTCCTCCGTTGATTCATCATGCGAGGCTCTTGCTGACCCTGCGTACAGCACAGGGATCAAACCACGGAAGATAAGACTGTGCCTCGCGGGTGATTCATCGCTGCAAGACCAGTCAAAGAAGTCGGTTTTGATCTCGGGAACCACGACCGATAAAATAGGCATCCCTGGTCTGTACTTAGCCACAAGCCTCGCTGTGCTTCCTCCCCTTGTTAGGACCATGATGAGAGTGGCTCCAGCCGAGTTAGCGGTTCTAACCGCAGAGGACGCGAGTGACTCAAGCGGGGACATTGGAACCGGAGAGTACTTCATGATCCTTTTGAAGACGTCTCCGTAGTCAAGTGTGCTCTCGGCTTCAGCGCATATCTTAGCCATTGTACGCACAGCTAGCTCAGGGTATGCTCCAGCTGCTGTTTCACCACTGAGCATGACGCAGTCCGTGCCGTCGAGGACTGCGTTTGCTACATCCGTGGCTTCAGCTCTTGTTGGTCGAGGAGATTTGATCATGGACTCAAGCATCTGAGTTGCTGTGACCACAGGTTTTCCCTGGATGTTGCATTTGTAGATCATCACTTTTTGAGCTAAGAAGATCTTCTCAATGGGGATCTCCATTCCGAGATCTCCTCTTGCAATCATAAAGGCATCGGAGTTGACAAGAATGTCATCGAAGTTCGCTACACCTTCTTGGTTCTCAACCTAATCAACACAAAACAATCACAATCAAAACTTGTTATTCCTGTAGTTTCTGAAAGTGGAAAGAGAGCTTTGGTTTTAACATATACCTTTGACATGAGAAGAATGTTCTTGGCGTGCTTTCCGAGTAGTTTCCTAACCTGAACCAAGTCTGAACCTTTTCTGACAAAAGACAAAGCGATCATGTCGATCTGATTAGGGACTCCCCACTTCATGATGTCTTCTTTGTCCTTCTCGGTTAGAGTTGGGAGATCCACAACAACACCCGGGAGATTGACATTCTTCCTCTCACCGAGCATGGCAGAGTTCTCGCAGCGGCAACGGACAGTACCATTCTCTGTGTCACAAGAGAGGACAAGTAACGAAATAGTACCATCGGCACAGAGAATGACCATCCCTGGGGTCACATCTACAGCCAACTTCTTGTAACTCATGCAGATTGTGTTCTCATCACCCTTCAAGTCATAGTCAGTGGAAATGGTGATCTCTTGGCCTTGTTTCAACTGTATTGGTTTCCCATCTTTCAAGAACCCGGTTCGAATTTCAGGACCCTAAAAGAGAAAAATACAAAAACCGTTCCGTTAGTATCATCAGAAACCTGCCACAGTTAAAATATTTTACATATACAAGAAAGAACTTGACTGTATATATCTAAAACACGAAACAGAGTATCAAATGAACTTGGCTATAACTTGAACGTAACACACATCCTCTAGCCAAGAAAACGATTCAAGAACATTGTCTATCAACACTAGCTTCTTCCGACTCGACAATTACATTTACAAGTCTTCTGTTTGTTGAATTGTGGGCATGTCTTCCTCAGTATAAGCATACAAAGCAGGTGTGACATTTATGTAAACAACAAACATGTCAAGGGAAAAAAAAAAAAAAAAAAAAAAAACACCAAA